AAAAATAACAACACTTTGTCAGGACCATGAGGCGATCATTCCTACCAACTTTCAGTTCAATCGGTCCAGCAGAACTTGACTTTAAGTTTGAAATAGGTTTTCAAAATGGCGGCCGTGGCGGCCATATTGGATTTCTGATCGACCCGAAAAATAACAACACTTTGTCAGGACCATGAGGCGATCATTCCTACCAACTTTCAGTTCAATCGGTCCAGCAGAACTTGACTTTAAGTTTGAAATAGGTTTTCAAAATGGCGGCCGTGGCGGCCATATTGGATTTCTGATCGACCCGAAAAATAACAACACTTTGTCAGGACCATGAGGCGATCATTCCTACCAACTTTCAGTTCAATCGGCCCAGCAGAACTTGACTTTAAGTTTGAAATGTAAAATGTTAACGGACGACGGACGACGGACAACGGACGACGACGGACGAAAACGGATAGCAATAGGTCACTTGAGCTAAGGCTCAGGTGACCTAAAAATCTGATTGTATTGTCATGATACTAGATATACCTGAAAATTTTCGCTGCAGTTCAGTTTTACCAGAATCATCCGCAGTATTGAAGGTGAATTTACCTTTACTGCTAACATTAGTAAACAACATAAAATAGAGCGGGGTCGGGTATTACTGAACACTTAACGGGAAAACCTCGGGTATTACTGAACACTTAACGGTAAAACCTCGGGTATTACTGAACACTTAACAGGGAAACCTCGGGTATTACTGAACACTTAACGGTAAAACCTCGGGTATTACTGAACACTTAACAGGGAAACCTCGGGTATTACTGAACACTTAACGGTAAAACCTCGGGTATTACTGAACACTTAACAGGGAAACCTCGGGTATTACTGAACACTTAACGGGAAAACCTTGGGTATTACTGAACACTTAACGGGAAAACCTCGAGTATTACTAAACACTTAATGGGAAAACCTCGGGTATTACTGAACACTTAACGGGGAAAACCTCGGGTATTACTGAACACTTAACAGGGAAACCTCGGGTATTACTGGGTTCACTTGTATAAAACATCTCAACTCTTGAGATTTCCTCAAGTCTAAGATTTCCCATAGACAATACATTGCTTGAGATTTTCCTTAACTTTGAGATGTTTTATACAAGTGGGCCCTGAACACTTAAGGGGAAAACCTCGGGTATTACTGAACACTTAAGGGGAAAACCTCGGGTATTATTGAACACTTAACGGTAAAACCTCGGGTATTACTGAACACTTAACGGGAAAACCTCGGGTATTACTGAGCACTTAACGAGAAAACCTCGGGTATTACTGAACACTTAAGGGGAAAACCTAAGTATTACTGAACACTTAAGGGGAAAACCT